ATTAAAATTAAAAATATGGTCGTTATTGGGTCCCACTCGTCTAATAAAAGTCAACAATAACGACTATATTTTCAATTTTAATCCGATTTTAATCCCTCCCACACAAGGCTTTAGTTTTATTGTTGTATGAAATGTTGTGAAGATCAATGTCTTCAAAAATATCATCTCGTATAAATGTCAAACTTAATGTAAAATTTAATGTACATATAGTTTGATCGATTTACATAACATCACACGACATCCTATCATTTATCAATTTAAGGCACAATCAATTTTTTCATTCACATCATATATGTAACCCTTGTGTATAATTTTAGTATACAAGTGGCAAAATCTTTGACAAGTATCCAGCTGGCTATAATTAAAAGTTCATTTAAAGACTTGTCCATTTGTTGCCACAGGTTCCAAGTACAAACTGGTAGGTGCAATATCTGTCGGTACATAATAAATGGCACTTTGAGTAAATGAGTTGGTAGAAAAAATCCCATTTTTTAACGGTATTACTTGTATAATCGAGGTTACAATCACTCACACATGAGATGGGTGAGGAATGTGCTGGTGGGTAATTTTTTATTTTTTTTAAACATAGTGGGATTCACCACTGTGAGAAGTTGTCAACCTCGATTGTACAAGTAGTATTTTCCTTTTTAACGAGATATTTTGACTCCCTATTTAAAAAAATAAAGGAAAAATAAAAATGATCTCTTGCGCAAATAATCTTGAGCACCAATTTAGATATCAATATTTTATTGACTCTATTAATTAGATCATAAATATTTATTTTAGTTAAATTCGTAATTTAATATTACAAGTACAGTCACCTAAATTGATGTTAAATACTAGTCTACTAAATAGCATTATTAGGGTGTTTGATTTTTATTTGAGAATTGATTCTCTCAAATCAATTCTCATTTCAAACACACATTTTTCAATAAAATAATATTTTTCATCATATCAATAATTTTTTTTTCTTTTTCAACCACACATTTTCTATCATATTACTATTCAAAAATCAATTCTTCCTCCAAAAATCGCTACTAAACAAGCACTCAAATTAGTTGGACGGCTCAGTCCGTACCATAGTCCATGGATTAACCCTTATGGAGGGTCCGCCTTTATTGCGGTGGAGCCGTCTGAAGAGTACTTAGGAGCGTAGAGTTTCCAACGCGTGCCTTTGCACTTTCTCTTTGATGTTGATGTGTCCCACTCGACTCATTTTACTGGTTTAGCTACTATACAAGGGCAATTTTGGAAACAACGAAATAAATTTTCCTCTATTAAAGAGCAAGACTTCCTCAACACAATTCAACTGCACTACATTCATGGCTGCAAGAGTGATTATTGCACTGCTTCTTTTTCTCTTCTGTGTTTCCCAGGTAGAGCTCTCAAAAGGGCTCTCTTTTAATTACCATAAATGTAAAATTTATTATGATTTAACGGTGTAACTTGCAGGCTTCGTCTGGTTTAAGGATTGATGAAGAAAAGAAACATCACAGCGAGGCATTTCATGTAATTTGTCTTGTTTATTTTAGTTTTCTGTTTCCTCTGTAAGTGTTTGACGAAATGCCACTGTGGGTTTTGTTCCTCAAATCTTATCATTTTGATTTTGCGCGTCTGTGTTTTTCAGGTGTTTTCCAGAGGCACAGACAGAAATCTCATGCAGGATATGGGTGAGTGATCAATTAGATTTTTTAACCCTTATTTTATATATTTGGGGCCTTTATCTCGTCCATTTGAGTCAAAGTCAACTATTAATTTTAAGTATATAATCACAATTTTTTAACAACACATTTCATTAATTTTTATCGAAATTTACTAAAATTTTAATTTTAATTCCCATCAAACAGTGGTACAGTGATTTTATGCGTCCTTGTTGGCTTAATTTATTTATAACACATTGGTGCACCAATAATGTAGTAGTACATCTTTGGCAAAGTTTAAATTAGTTTAAATTATAATTTAAACCGATCAAAAATATACAATTCATAAGACATATAGCCCTATTTGGTGCCCATTATTTAAAGAAAGTAGAGTTTTGAACAGCGTTTTTAGGAGAATGCGTAGTTAAATATTGGATAAAAGTTTTGAGTTTGTGAAAAATATTTTATTGTATGAATACGTGGTTGAAAATGATCACGTAGCAAACAGAGTTTAAAAACAATAAACACCAAACAGGGACTTAACTATATTATCAACTTATTATGTACAGTGTGGGACTCACAATTTATAATCACTCCCAAACATGTGCCAAAAACAGTTTTAATTTTATATTTTGCTTTGTTGACAGTTCTTAGGATCACGAAATACTTTGACACTCGTGCTCCGGCTCTGATTTTGGCTCCAGCTCCAACCCCAGCCCACAGCATCGACTGTGGTGGGCTGTGCAAGTACAGGTGCAGCCAGCACTCTAGGCAAAATTTGTGCATGAGGGCATGTGGGACTTGTTGTGTGAGGTGCAAGTGTGTGCCACCAGGAACCTCTGGCAATAGAGAGAGATGTGGAACGTGTTATACTGATATGACCACCCATCACAACAAGACTAAGTGTCCTTAGGCCCGGTTTTTAGATTCAAAATTTTGGAGATGTTGAATTGAGTGTGTTTGTCTTTATGTAACTATGAAGATGCTGAAACAAATGGGCGTGTTTGGTTCGATCTTACAGTATTGGACTATATTGAAAAGTTAAAAACATCGTACTGTCTTCATAATTACTTATAATATAATTATCTAACAATTCATTTGTCGTAAAATAATGTTTTCCTTTTCTTCTTTATATTTAATTGTTGATTCGGAGTTTGTTTGGCGAGAGATTCTTTGAAAATCACTATTTCCAAAAATATTTTCAACCACACATGGACTTACGACTTTTCATCGCTTTTTAACTAAACATTTTTTAAAAAAAACCATTTTTCCCTATCTGTGCCAATATTTTTCATTTTCTTTTGTGGCTGAAAATAGTGACCACTTGAAGCCCTAATGCATCCCCATTTCTATTGAGTATTGTTTTATCATTGTTTGAGGCCATCGAACAATATAAAATCTCATAATTTACTAACAAATGTCACTTCTACGCTTAATTTAGTATATTTTTCTCTTTCTTCATTTTAACAATACATTCTCAATAAAATAATATTAATGTAAACCTAAAATTTTTCCTTCTTTTTTAATCAGATTCTTTTAAAAAATCACTATTCAAAAATGAGTAATGTTATTCATCCTCAATAGGGATGAAAATACAGTCTATGTGTTTTTAAATGATATGTTAAATGAAAGGTGAAATTAAATGATTTATTTAATTTTACATATCATTTAACTCCACATTAATGCCACATAAAATGTGTTTTCATCCTCAGTGGGGATGAATAGCATTACTCTTCAAAAATACATTATCCTAAAAACTCATTACAATGGATTCCAAACGGAGGCTAAGTTTGGGTAAATTTCGAAAAAGTTTATGACAATTTCAGAGACACCCACATGATTTCAAAAAATTTAGAAACTTTCCCTATTGGCATAAAGTCTCCATTTTATCCGTTTCTCTTATGTTAAATATAAAATAACTGACTAAATAAATTAACAAAGTCTCATGCTCCAGCTATAAATGCTTAATCTCCAATTGATGTCCCAAAAGAAAAATTTGTCAGCATTATGACACACTCTAAGCTTGGTGACATTCGTTTCTAGAGATAGAAATCCCCAAATGAAAAAAGGAACAAAAAGGAAAAATGATCAAATTGAGGAGGCATATATTCTTGAAGAGTATATAAACATAATTAATGTAAAATCTCGTAAGAGATTCATGTACCTGTAATAATGAAAATAGAGAGATCTCAACAAGTTATATTGTTAAGGAGAAAAGATGGAATAAAAAATAAATAGTTATCGACAATAATATGTTACTCAATATAGAGCTTAGTTTTACAAATGAAAGCGAGGATGATAGATTCAAATATGTCGAAGAATGTTGATGTAAGAATTGGTCAAAATGGAAAGATGCAATCTAGACATAATTGAACTCATTATTAAAAGTCCATTGATATGATCGAGATGAGTAGCTTTGGTGCCATACCGATGCTCTATTACAAGCGCCGAACTCTTATCCTTGAAGTTTTTGGACATAATCCAAATATCCAAAGATGTAAAGCCGAAGTATAAAATGGATAATTGTGCAAAAAGTAACCGAGTATAATTAAGTCGTAAGATTAATCATTAAAGCATGACATCTATTCCAATGATTTTTTTCAAAGAACTGATATTGGTTATGAAGAGACACATTCTTTTGTGGTGGATGCATTTTGTTGTTTGATATCTTGTTAGCTTTACAATAAATTTAATACTCGGTATACATCTAACTAATGTGGTTGTAACCAACTTATGTAGTTTACTTGAGAACAATATTTATATAAAACTCGGAATGATTTGATACGCTTAATCAACTTATATAGATTCTTGCGTAGATTGCAGTTAAGAAGCATGTGATATGATCGAGTCAATATATATCTGTCGAAAGAATGGTAAAAATGATCACATTTACACGTTTTTATAAAGAAACGTGTATATGAGAATTTAAAATTTATTGTAACTCTTGGAGAGTTTTCAAAGGTAGTAGAATAGTCAAAGATGAATTTGGGCTCCGTTTAAGCCACCTTATTATTTCATTAAAATAAAAAGTATGTCATTTATCCATCACATCAATATTTAAATTCAAATTTTCTATCTATTGTGTGGGCCCAACTATATTTTTCAATCTCGTTCTACAATAATTTGGCTCAAATAGGGGCTTGATATGAAAGATTTTAAAATAAGTTTTGCTTCGTCCTACACATCAAGCATGGCCAATAAAAATCTTGTTCATTAGTCAATTTATACAAAAAAAAAAAAAAAAAA